CACCCACCCAGCCCCGCTCCGGGGAATTCCTAGATCTCCCCAGCCCCTGGCATGGGCTGGAGACAAAATAAGTACAAAAGCAACTGGCAACAACATGTGTTTTTCCAGGGCGCAACACCAGGTGTGATAAATGGCTCCTCATGCTGCTGCTGCCTGCCTGCACGTGAGGGCAGTTGTGCCACCACCCCAAACCCTTCCCGGCACCACGTGGTCACCGTCCAGCAGATTCGAGGAAGGTCTAGAGGTACAACAGTGTGGATCACCTCGGCCTGGGTCACAGCCCTGGATGCTCAGGGCTGAGGGATGCCAGGAGCACGCCAGACCCAGTTCTGGGCAGCAGGAGTCAATTGTAGCCGCAGTTTTCTTTGGACAAGGTGAAGTGCAGCATCTCTGCTCTGAAAGGCAGCCCGCAGCGGGACTGACCTTTGCTGGGACGGAGGAATGAGTCACCGGGATGGCAAAGCACCAGCAGCAGCAGGAGAGCTGTGCTTTTTCCCATCTGCTGTGGTGTTACAAGCCACGGCTAAGGGGAACCAGGGCTGCCTTCTCTACCCGCAGCTTCAGGGACACGCTCCAGGCTGCCCCTGGGTGTGTGGCTGCCTCGCTGGACGATAAATAATGGAAACACACGTTTGTCAACAACTTACCTGCAGAATGCGAGGTGCTCGGGGAAGCCGCTGCAGTTTTTAGAAGAGTTGCCTTCCCAGGGCTGCTTGTTTACAGCCCAGCAAACCACCCGCAGTGCAAGGTCTAAGTGCCAGAGGCAGCGTGATCACAGCCTGCTCTGGGGGACTGGGGCCAAAGTCTGTGCTCTGGACCCGGGAAGGTGGAGTTCTTCATGCTGGACACCACGTGCTGCTGCTCCAGAGTAAAGAAAATGGGGTCACCACGATCCTAGGAGCACACATGGTGTTTAAGCCAAGTTGCTATAATTTAGGGATCTCACTGTGACTGAAGCTTGTATAAAAGAGGCAGTGAGGATAAAAGGATGGCAAAACGCCACCCTTGACATTTGTCACCATGGTGACTACTGCCAGCTGCCCCGAAGGGTCCTCGTAGGTGGGGACATGAGGACAGGACACCCCCTCCTCCCTAGCTACTGGATTCCTGTGGGATCTGGGAAAATTGGATGCCTCGGTTTTGATTTTTGTGTGGTAAGAAAGAAACGGCATTGCCCCTCCTGATAGACCCAGGCAGCTGTGCCAGCCAGCTTGCACCTCTCAGGGGCCAGACAGCTTCATTTTATCATTTCTAAGCTGCCTCTCCCTTCACAAATCCCACGACTTTGAGTTGTGGGCTGAAAAGCCAGGTTCCTGTTGGTGCGGATACCGTTATGAGCAGCAGAGGCAGCCCTGAAAGGACATGTGGTGTTTGGCCAGAGTTGCCACAATTAGGGATTTAGCACAGCAGATGCTTTACACCAAGAGGTCAATGAGGATAGTGTGGAAGGGTTAAATCTGAGGGTTGTAGGGTACTACCTGGTACATTGAATGCTTTTGGCAGAGGAAAATCGCTTGCAAACATTTCTGACCCTGAGCATTGTCGCTGTCCTCCCTCCCACCACCAAGGGCCGAGGCTGTCCGTGCCAACCAGCTGGTTCCTAAGGGCGGCAGCTGCTGAGGCTGGGGCTCAGGATCCCGCTCCAGGTGCCACGAAGGGCTGAAGCGAGACCTCATAGCTCTCTGCAACTACCTGAAAAGAGGTTGTAGTGAGGGGGGTGTTGGACTTTTCTCCCAAGTAACTAGTGATAGGATAAGAAGAATGGTTTCAAGTTGCTCCAGGGGAGGTTTAGGCTGGATATTAGGAAACATTTTTTTACTGAGCGAGCGGTGAAGCCCTGGGACAGGTGCCCAGGGCAGCGCTGGAGTCCCCAGCCCTGGAGGTGTTCAAAACGTGGCACTTGGGGACGTGGTTTGGTGGTCACGGTGGGGTTGGGTTGGCGGTTGGACTCGATGATCTCAGAGCTCTTTGCCCACTGTTCTGATTCTCCGGTTCTATGAAGGACTCGTCTGCCTCTTGCTTTTGGCACCGCTGACCCCTCCGCACTTTCTTCCGTTGCAAGACCCGAAACTCTTCGGCTGCCTTCG